GGGCTATATAAGTCTATGAATTTGTCTTCTCTCTCATTTCATTTTATCCCAACCGGCTCACTGACAACGAACCATACACTTCATGCAACAAACAACCTCACCAACTACTCTCCCCAGCTCTGGTGGACACCCTTTAAACCAAACCTAACCGACCCGCATGTACTCTCCCTAGCCCAACAAAGGTTCCAGCACCCTAGCCAAACACCAGTGACCTTCCATCCATATGCAACATCTCTGCACCCAACGCTGGTTCCAATGATCTCCCAAATTTCTGGAATGTTGTTTTCTTTTTTTCATTTTGTGAAATCTGAATTATTCCATTTTGGAATTGTTAGAATGACGCTTTTTTTTGGTTAAATACGAATGTGTAGTTGTGTTTTTGGTTGAAAAATGTCATGCGTAGTTGCTATTTTCTTTCTGCGGTAACTAGTTTTGTTTTTGTGAAATCTGAATGTGTATTTGTTATTGTTTGACATGTTAATGTGATGTGTAGATACTATTTTTTTTTTTGGTGTGATTGGTTTTGTTTTTGTGAAATTTGAATGCGTAGTTGTTATTGTTTCATGAATGTGAAGTTTAGTTCTTAATTTTTTTGTGTGTAATTGGTTTTGTTTTTGGGTAGTTGTTATTAATATTTTTTTTGTGTGGTTGGATGCATTATTTTTATTTTTTGGAATGGTGTTGGTTAGATTGAAATTCATTTAATTGGTTTGTTTTTGTGAAATTCAAAAGCTATTGTTGGTTTTTGTCAATTGGATTGGAAAAATTTGTTAGATTATTACTATTGCCACTTCAATGAGTTTGTTAGTTTGTGGTTGGATGAATTATTTTTAATTTTGGAAATGGTGTTGTAGATTGAAATTGGTTTAATTGTTTTTTTTTATTTTGGATACTGATTGTGTTTGTTGTTTTGCCATTGAAATTTCGGTTTTTGTGTGGTATTTGTGTAGAAAATTATGGTGAGTTTGTCCAGCTCGTAATATCAACCTAAATTTCTTCATCCAGGATCGATTGAACCAAAACTAATTCATATACCTCTAAGGTGAACACAGGTCCAAAGCTATGTTCGAGGACCTAATCCTGTATATTAAAACCTCCACACTCAAGGGTCGTAGGTTTGATGGGAAGTTTTGAGAAATTTATATGAAATCCGACGGTTTCATGAGAGTATTGGAAATAGGAAATACGAAATGGATAACAGTCTCATCACCGCATTCGTAGAGCGGTGAATGCTTGAGATACACACCTTCTACTTCTACTTCGAGGAGGATAATGTGACATTCCAGGATGTCGAGGTACTCTTCGGTCTCCCGGTGGATGGGAATCCAGTTTTTGGGAAAATGATTTCATAAAATCCAAGGGAATGGTAGGAAAGATGCCAAAGTTATTTGGGATTCACCCCTTCAAGGGATCCGATACATGGTAGCATAGTCAAGGCCGCCTGTTTTGAGACAGAGATGGCCCCTGAAAACCCATAGGATTCCCCAATTGTAGTAGTATATGAATATAGGGCCCGGACATTACTCCTATGCTTTATGATGAGTTTTATGTTCCTAGGCAAGAGTCAAAACACTATGTGCTTGTTTGGACAACATTTTGTTTTAGTTTTTGATTTGGATTTGAGAGGAGATTTAAAAAGTAGTTTAGTTTTTTATTTGGATAGTATTATAATATAGTGACCATTTATGAAATAAAAATAGTTCAGTGACCAAAATGAAGATTTTATAATAATTTAGTGACAATCGGCACAAAATTTTCCCTCATCACCGGACCACCTCTACCACCGGCCGCTACTGGCCAACTCGCCGGAATTTGACCAGAATCCGGCTGGCCAGTCGCCAATCCGGTGGCGGCGGTGGTGGCCGGTGGTGGAGGTGGTCCACCAGCCGCTACCGTCACCGCCGGCCGAATTCCGGCCAACTTCCAGCCAACTCGCCGGAACTCGGCAGTGGCGGCCAGTGGTGGAGTTGATCCGGTGGTGAGGGAAAAATTAGTGCCGATGGTCACTAAACTATTGTAAAGTCTTCATAGGAATCCACCATAATCCGATGGTCACTAAACCCACCGTAATTTGATCGGAATCTAGCCGGCCGGTTGCCGGTCCGGCGGCGACCGGCAGTGATGAGGGAAAAATCTTCTATAAGCAGGAATTCGATACCGGTGGATCCTGGCGGTACAGCTGGGATCGACTCTTCTAGCATTTTAGTACTCTGGCTTGTGCGAGGCATGTTTCGATGATAAGAATGATATCACCAGCTATGTATATATCTTCTACATGTATAGATTTTATTCATTAATGTGTTTATGAGTATTTATACTTTTGATGTTATTTTAGAATATTGATATTATTATCTTATGATTAGATATGGGCATACGAGCGAATCATGAGAATTGCGCCAAAAAGAGTACCCTAGGCCCGATATTGGATGAGATTGCTCCTAGCTCAACGATGAGTATTTATAATTTAATATGTATAATTATTTACATTATTTTTTTCTTATTTCTTTTTTAAAAACTACTAACACATTTTCAAATTTGTTCATCACAAGGTAGGAATATTCCTACAGTTTCAAGGACATCCCAAGGAACAATCTGGCAGCTCTTAGAGATCAATTGATATCCATGCGTGTTGGAGACGTAAGTATTCGTAACTTTTATTATTTTTATTTATTTCTTTTTTATTTATTTTTTTTATTTATTTTTCAAAATATCTTGAATGATTTAAAGGTTCTATTGTACTAACACTTACTGATTTTCTATTTTTTTTAACAGTTTCTATGGAAACCCTACCGTTCATTCCTTTCTAGCATCATTGATTTATGTAAATAGGGACACGCCATTTGGATGGCCAGGATATGGATGTTCTTTTGACCGGTTAGAGAACCCACCAGTCCTACCGAGTCATGAGACAATTTGGGTATATACAAGGTATTCATTGGCGACCTATCATTATCAACATCAATAGGTGGTGGAATGACCATGACCACAACATGACTCGGCTACCGAACAAGAACTGGGTCGCTCACCATGATGGTATATGCCCCCACTGGTATCGCAGAACACAAAACATTCCAAAGCGTCTGAGGGATTGCAAAGTTCCTAGAGAAACAACGCCTGACTACGAGAAATGGTTCCTCAACATTACAATGAAAATGATATCTGATCTCGAAAGTACCACCCAATCGGATATGAGACTTCTTTGACCCGAAAGAAATTGTATGTAAGTATATTTTGTAAGGTTTATATTACTTTTCATACTTCCTTTATTTTAATATTTTTACAAATTCCTTTTGTTAACGTTCTATTTTTTCTAGATTGAATGAAATACCACATTGGCACAACATCCAAGTGCTTCAGAGAAGACCATCATGAAAATGTAGCCTAGACCTTGATCTTGAGAAAATGCTGACCGAAATCGTGAATAAACACCATGTAGTTTTAACACTAGCCTCAAATGATATAAGGGCCATAGATGTTACTCAGATTCTTATGGATACTGATCTATCTCAACTCTTACAACCTGTGCCCGGTAAAAAGGCAAAACCGTGGGCAAGAGAGAAGATTGGTGGAGGGAGAAAGCAAGAACAATTCATTCCGCCCAGGCCATCTCAACCACAAAATCAGGGTGAAACTTCAGGCAATCAATAAAGAGATGGTGAGCATGAAGAGCCTGGGGATGGAAATCGATGAAGGGTACATTGCTTCTAGACACTTACACACCTAGCATGAGACCCCACTTATTGACATTGGTCTAGAGTCACAACCCCACCGTGATACCCCCACTTCTCACCATGGGAGAACCACGGACCTCAACCTCGTCAACATGGTCCATTACTTCCTTATCTTCTCAGGGAAGACAAGCCACGCAATCCGCCAAATGCGCACACTCCAGATGTTATTCTTAGGAAAGAAAAAAGAGGACAACATTGATATATTTGGAGGGCATTTGTTAGTTATTGGATGGATTTTTTTTTTTAATTTAGTAAATTGTTATGTATTTTTATGGTTTTTTATATTGTTTGACTTTACCCAAATGAAACTTATTACTTCTATTTATTGGTTCTCTATTTTGCTATGTTTCTTTGTTATTGGTGCTGTTAAAATAGGTTTTGGAGTGTTAACATCAATCTTTTTTTTTCAACTGTTCACAATATTCGGATTTGACAAATCCGAAGTGATCCATTTTGTACTAAACTCGGATTTGTCAAATCCGAGAAGTTTAGCTTCCCTCGAATTTGGAAAATCCGATTGTGGTCAACTATATATTACAACACTTAGAATTTTTTTTTTCCAATGGAAACAAATTGTATTCACTTTCTTCATATTTTCTAAATCTAAATGTCCATTAATTATGTTTAACCATACGATTTTATTGATTGCCACTTTAATTAACACGTTATTAGATTACCTAAATCTAGATTCAAGTAGTTTCTGAGTTGCCAAATCCGACTGTTCATACCTTTAGATTCGATAAATCCGGCAGATCAATTTTTGTCCACAGATTTTAGCAAAATATAGTTTTGCCCAGGTCCTTCTTATGAAAAAATATTTTGATAAACAAAAAAACTCGAGGAGGTCAACCATATTTATACTGGTCGAAGACGGGTTTTGAGGTTCAATAGTCCTCAGTTAGTGTCGTATGTACTCCTTTTTCCCTTTTATTGAAAAAACTAAAAAAATATTTTTGGGGTCTTTAGGTCCCACAATCATAATAAAATTAATAAAATATTATACTTTTAACGAAGGGATGCCAACTCTAGTTAATTTCCTTCTGATCCGTTTAAAAAATTATAATTGGTGAGAAAAAAGACTTCATAATAACTAAAATTGTTGAAGTAAAATTTATGGTAACTCAATCGAGTTATCTCTCAAACTTTGGGTACCAAAATTAAGATTTACCATTGAAAACACAAGAAGTTTCTTTCAGATAAGGTAACACTAAGGTCTCAGCTATGAATTAAATGAAATGTGAAGGACAAAAAAAAAGTTTCTAGTGAACAGTTTATTACTAGTAAAGGTGATGACTGAGGAAAATAAAATGATGCAACTGAAAAAAGAAGTGGCAAAAACCCACACGCTATTAAATCAGGAAAATACTTTGAAAGAGAAAAAGTGAAGAACTTGCATGATCGATCTAGACTCTGCTACTACTCTCTATAGTCACAACTCACTAGCCTTCATTCACTCCAAAAACCCAATTCATCCACAAGAGTGAAGCACAACACGGAATTTCCAGAAACAGTAGTCACAATTTGCAAGTAGTTTAGTCAATTTTGATGGCCATATTCAGACCGGGAGTTTCAGGAGCATTTTCGGCGTGGCGGTGGTTTTGGGTTGATGCTGTGGTTTGCAGCAGCGTGAAGGTCTCATTTCTCCATTACCTCCCAGGTAGGTTTCTGTGGCCGCTTGTTTGGTTGATATGATACTTTCATTTTTTGCACCTTCTGAACAAAGTGATTTTGGAGAAAACTCGAAGGTTAATATTGAAATTTCAAGTCTATGTTATAAATGGGTTCTGCTTAAAGCTTTCTAGGTTGTCCAATCTCTCTTTTGAATTTTATTATATTGATCTGTTCAGCGTTGCTTTTGGGGTTTAGATGAAGAAATCCTGGATTTCAAATTTTCCTGACATTTTTAATATTTTTTTTCCCTTTAGGTATATTTGCATCATTGGCTGCCTTGATGTTCAATTGTGTTAGAAAAGAAGACATTGATATTCTCCTTATGAGGAAGGCGAATGGAGGTATCTACCTTTTACTTCTTTTTAGTTGTTTTTTCTCTAAAGATTTTTGATTGTTAGTTGTAATCAAGAAGATCAATTGTTATTTTGGTCTTTTTAACTCCTGTATTTCATTTAAGCATTTGCATCTGATTTGATGTTAGAACTTTTTGTGCTTGCTCATACGTGCATTCATAAAATTTTGAATGATAATTATCAAGCAAGTTTTCCTTTCTTTTGTTTTTTAAACTATTGAGTATCTTAGTTGATTTTGTTGTTTTGAGTTTTGAAGTGCTATCATTTTTTATGGTTAGTGTCAAATTTCCTTATTGTGTTTTAATTCAGATGTTTTGAGTTTTGAAGGTCTAGTCATTTTCAAAGTGAATGCCAGACGCTTTAGTGCTTAGGATTGGAGGCAATTGCCTCCCATTTGTCTAATTATTCACTATGCCCTTGTTGTTTGTGGAATCTTCTGGAAATTTAATAGCATTCTCTAACAGTGTAGTTGTCACCTATTCCTCAATATCCTTGACAAAGTTCCATGTCCTCATTCATTGACTGTCAAACATTCCACCCCCTCTAAGTTTACGTGTAGAAATTATGGCTTTTACTTATGCCACTTATCCTTTCTCATTCTCAGTTTTGTCCCTCTAATTCGGTGTAGTTTTTCTCTTGGACCATAGAATCAATGGCGGCTCAAAAGTAGTTCATTTGCAACTCCGCCAACCATCACATGTGATATGTCTTGGTTCTTTAACACAAAATTCTTCATTTAAGTTTTGAATTAAACAAGCCATTGATTTTGGGGTCCACCACCTCCATCTTTTGTTCCTATACATGCTACCAATGTTGTTACCACCCTTGTCTAAATTGTACGGATTTGAGATATAGTTATATAAATGCAAAGTTGTTGAGGTCCTATTGTTGTCTTTGCAGCAATTCATGAATTTTAAATTGAAATTTTTGGACTCATCACTCTCATGGCCACATTTTGGGAGAGGCTTTGTTTGCCCTTGGAACCATATTTCCTTTTGCTTAATTTGCCCTTGAAACCATGTTCCAGTTCTCCTTTCTGATAATGGTTTATTTGTTACATAAAAGCATCACAATTAACTCTGAATTAGCAAGAAATTGGGGGGTATTTCCTATTATTAGTGCACTTTACTTAACCAGTTTTTGTGTTTTTGTTAGGTTGGGGTTTGATTGCAAAATTGCTGAAAAATTAAGGTCAAGGGAACAATTTTTGGGCTGCTGAGGCAAATGTTGCTGAGCTGGACGAAGAAGCACCTCCTTAGACAAGAAGCATCTTGCCATTAATGAGCATGTCTCCTCCAAGAAGCATGCTTGTCCCCCAGCCGAAATTTCAGCCTTCCCTGCTGATCAATTAGAGCAATGCTGCCACTTCTGGAAGAAGAGAAGAAGAACAGCCAAGTTTGGATTCCAGGCTCAAGGCATTGGGAGGATTAAACAATTACAAGCATGGGGAGACTCTCATGACGAAAAGAATCGGCTGCAAGGCCCTATAAAAGAGGGAACTGCACTCTCAGAAGACATGGATATCTCTATCTCAATCTCTGGTTACCCTTCAGTTGCCAAAAACACACAGAAAAACTCAAGGTAGAAGGCAAGAAGGAAGAAGAAGCAGCAACAACTCAGTAAGGAAGCCAAGTTGAAGAGTAGCCAACCCAGTTTCTGCTTCAGTTCCATGAGTGAACCCTTTCACTCCCAGGAGTGGCTCAGAAACTGCACAAGCTTTTTTCTCGTCTCTTGACTGTTAGCTTGAACTTTGTTTATTATGCATACTTCTATGATGTCTGTTGATGTAGTAGATGTAGCATTAATCTGTCTGAATAGCTAAACAGTTTCCAGGGGTTATTCTCCTCAACTTATGTCGTAGTTGCAATGCACTGGTTTTGTTTCTTGTTTTAAGGTTGAAAGTTTTTCTACATTCATTTACTTGATCACTAAATTGAATGCATGCTAGAACTAAGGGAGATCTGGAAAGATAAACTTGGTTTGGATTGTTTCAACTTTATCTTATGACATATAGGTAACAGTGTATGGTTTTAACTAAGATAGGAATATACTTAGTTAACATAAGCATTCTTGAGGGCCTAAGAACTTAATGACTTTGGACCTGGAATCAATCATTGGAAAATAGATTGTTAAGGTTGCAAGGATGATTCTAGGACAAATGGGAACTGACTTAGAGTTATAAGTGAGCTAAATGAACAAGAGCTCAACCATTACAGTGCTAATAACAACTACAACAGTAAGAAGAGGAGAAGAACACCCCTGGCCTCCAGTCCCCTGAGTGACTATTTCCATTCCCCTGAGTGACACCTTATTGATTGGTAGTCTTTCTTTACAACAAATTTGGTAATTAGCTATCCTCGTGGGATCGACCTAGCTTCCATTATCTACAAAAATCATAATCCAAGCTAGTAATATTTTTGGTGAACTCGGCACGCACCAGAAAGTGGCGCCGTTGCCAGGGACGGCGTAAAACCTCCAAAAAAAATTTTTGTTTTTGTTTGTTTGTACATATATAAAATTCTTCTCTGGTTACCTCGCTAAGCTTCCAGTTTCTTTTCTTTGGTGTATGACTAGAAGGCACCAACGAAGTGAACCTGTTTTTGACCGAGAAATTGAAGCTACCATATGTAGAACCAGAGCAGCAAGAAGAAGGCAGAACCAGTTGCAACAGGACAACCAAGAAGGTTCATCAGAAATGGCTAACCAAGGTGGTAACCCGGAGAACAATAGGAACCCTGGTGGGGATCAACAAAATCGACCAGAGAGATTGCTTAGAGATTTCTTCATCCCACAGCAAGAAGAAGTCCAATCCCCTTTAGTGTTCCCTGATGTAGAAGCAACCAATTTTGAGCTCAAGCCACAGATGATCCAATGGACTCAATCAGCCTGCCCATTCCATGGATTACCTCATGAAGATCCTAATGATCACATCCGAAGTTTCCTGCGTTTATGCAGTACTTTTAAAATTCAAGGCTTATCTAATGATGACATTAGACTGAGGTTATTCCCTTTTACCTTGCAGGATCACGCCCAAGCATGGTTCAACACATTACCTAACAACTCTATTTCCACTTGGGAAGAGTTAAGACAGTGTTTCCTGACAAAATTCTTTCCACCCGCAAAAGCTGCACAACTCAGAACAGCAATAATGAACTTCAAGCAGCATGGAACAGAAACACTCTATGAAGCATGGGAAAGACTGAAGGAAATGGTCAGGAACGCCCTCAGCATGGTTTGGAAGAGCATCTTCAACTGAGCATCTTCTACAATGGACTGCTACCAACTACAAGAGACTCCCTTGATGCTGCAGCTGGTGGTGTATTTATGATGAAACCGGTTGATGCAGCAAGGCAGTTGCTCGACAATATGACCATCAACCATTCAAGATGACAATCTGATCCAAGGACAAGTACAAAACAACCAGGGATGATGGAACTTGATCCCAGTACACACCTGCAAGCATAAATGGCTGTTATGATGAATGAAATGACTAAACTCAGGAGTGAGTTGTCCAAATCCAAGGCTGAAGTGTGTGTATTATGTGATGGATCCCACAGTTTGGATGACTGTCCCTCCAAAATGGAAGCTGTCCAGTTTGTCAAACAGGGCAATGCTGGGGGATTCAACAACTTCAACAGTTGGAGAAATCAACAGCAGCCTAACTGGAACAATGCACCACAACAAGGAAACTATCAGAGGCCTACTCAACCCCCAAGATTTCACAGACAAGATGGTCAACCTCCCAACTATCAGAATCAGCAGCGTTCTAACAAGCAGTACATACCAAGGGAAGATGAATGGATTTCTGTGCAAAATGCAATCAAGAATTTGGCGGTGTCTTGTAAAAGTTTGGAGAATCAGTTGGCCCAGATTGCAAAACAAAATGCTGAAAGACCATCTGGAAGCCTGCCCAGTGATACGGTTGTAAACCCCAAGGGGAATGACCAAGAGCAAGCAAAGGCTGTCACTCTTAGAAGTGGAAAGCCACTCAATCAGCCAAGTGAAAAAGTCACTCCCGTGAGTGACCCTGCAGGTAAGAATGAAACATTTTATGAGAAAATATATGATAATAATGATGTGGTTGAACAAGAGCAAACAGTTGAAAAACCTGGAATGGAGGAAATTCAATTCCTAGCACCAATTAAGGAACCTCAACAACCAGCTCCAAATCCACCATATCTGGTAACACAAAAGAAGGCCAAAATGGATGAAGGGCTCAACAGGTTTATTCAAAACATAGAAAGTATACATATTAATGTACCACTTGTTGATGCACTTAAACAAATGCCTAAATACTTCAAGTACTTGAAGGATTTGGTGGCCAATAAACCACAAGTGCATGACTTTGCTTTTGTCACTCTAAGTGAAGAATGTAGTGCAGCTATCCTGAGAAAATTACCACCTAAGTTGAAAGATCCAGGTAGTTTCACTCTACCTTGTACAGTAGGAATCAGAGAACTTTCAAAAACATTATTATATCTTAGGGCAAGCATAAATCTCATGCCATTGTCTGTATTTAAATCACTTGATTTGGACAAATTTCTGGTACCTGCTAACATGACCTTGCAGTTGGCGGATAGGTCACTGACCTACCCAAAGGGAATCTTACATGATGTCCTTGTGAAGGTTGGTAATTTTGTTTACCCAGTAGACTTTGTGGTTTTGGACATGGAAGAGGACAGGGATATGCCCATCATCCTGGGGAGACCTTTTCTGGCAACAAGTGATGCAATCATTAAGGTGAAGAAGGGAGAAATCACACTGCACTTTGATGGAGAGAAGGTTACCTTCAACATCTTCAAAAATATGAGATATCCTGCTGAAATCCATAACTGCTACATGGTAAGAAGTGTAGAAGCAGAAGGAGCAGTGACAGAAGAATTACTGCAAGATGAGCTCCTCAAGGAACTTCTGTGCCCAGACTATAATGAGGAACAAGAAGGAGGGGACGAGTACAGGGCCACTTGCCTGAGTTACCTGAACCACTCACCCAAGTGGCATCCTAAACAACAACCCTTTGAACTGTTAGATCTGACTAAGGAAGGAAGATGCCTCAAACCTTCAATTGAAAAACCACCTCATCTCGAACTTAATCCTCTGCCCTCACATTTGAAGTACGCCTATATTGGAGCAAGTAACACCTTACCTGTGATCATTTCTTCTATGCTTACAGGTACTGAGGAGGACAAATTGCTGAGAGTACTGAGATTGCACAAGGAAGCCATTGGGTGGTCAATTGCAGACATTAAGGGCATCAGTCCTTCCATATGTATGCACAAGATCTTGCTTGAAAATGATGCCAAGCCAACCATTGAAGGACGAAGAAGGCTCAACCCAGTCATGAAGGAAGTAGTGAAAAAAGAGATTATCAAGCTGCTGGATGCTAGAATCATCTTCCCAATATCTGACAGCAAGTGGGTGAGTCCAGTGCAATGCGTGCCCAAGAAGGGAGGAACCACGGTGATAAAGAATGACCTCCAGGAGCTAATCCCTACAAGGCTGAACAATTCATGGAGAGTGTGCATGGACTACAGAAAGCTTAATAAGGCTACCAGAAAGGACCACTTTCCCCTTCCTTTTATTGATCAAATGTTGGATAGATTGGCTGGATTTATGTATTATTGTTTCCTTGATGGTTTCTCAGGTTACAACCAGATTGCCATAGACCCTGATGATCAAGAGAAGATGACTTTCACCTGCCCTTATGGCACATTTGCCTTCAAGAGAATGTCATTTGGACTGTGCAATGCACCGACAACATTTCAAAGATGTATGATGGCCATTTTCTCTGATATGGTGGAAGATATAATTGAGATCTTTATAGACGACTTCTCAGTTTTTGGTAAGACATTTGATGCATGTCTGGACAACCTTGGACTGATATTGAAGAGATGCATAGAAGCAAAACTAGTCCTCAACTGGGAGAAATGCCATTTTATGGTGACCGAGGGAATTTTCTTGGGGCATAAAATCTCACAGGAAGGAATTGAAGTGGACAAGGCAAAGATTGAAGTCATTGAGAGGCTCAACCCGCCAACCACAGTCAGGGGAGTGAGGAGTTTCTTAGGCCATGCCGGTTTTTACAGGAGGTTCATTAAAGATTTTTCAAAAATTTCTAAACCCTTGTGTAACTTGCTTGAAAAGGACACTGCTTTTATTTTTTATGAGTCCTGTTTAATTGCATTCACTGAACTAAAAAGGAAACTCATCACTGCACCTGTGATCATCACCGGATTGCTCACAACCTTTTGAACTAATGTGTGATGCTAGTGATTTTGCAGTTGGTGTTTTACTTGGACAAAGAAGGAACAAGGTGTTACATGTGGTTTACTATGCTAGTAAAACCCTCAACCCTGCACAAATCAACTACACCAATACAGAGAAGGAAATGCTGGCAATTGTATTTGCATTTGACAAATTCAGAGCTTATTTGCTAGGGATGAAAGTCATAGTCTATACCGACCATGCTGCCATCAGGTACTTGATCAACAAAAAAGAGTCTAAGCCTAGGTTGATTAGATCGGTGTTGTTGTTGCAGGACTTTGATTTGGAGATAAGAGACAGAAAGGGTGCTGAGAATCAGGTAGCAGACCATCTGTCAAGACTTGAAGAAATTCCAGAAGACACAACTCCAATTTCAGAAAAATTCCCTGATGAGTCACTCT